CGTCCTGGCCCTGTTTTCCTTAAGCTCCGAGTTCTCGCTATGTAACCGAGAACAATACAAGGAAGTAAAGGAGCTGGACTTCGAACCCCAAAACCAACCGGATCAGGGCTAAGGCTGAATAAAACAGTCTGTGCAATCAAACTGTCCATGTAACGCATGAATCTCTCTTAATTTTTAAAGTGTCTGAAGCAAACCAGTATGCCTTCCTAATACTGCTGGCTGCCAGGCAGCCTGTGAGACGTGAGGAGTTGGGATTTCAGGCTGCAAATGGCACCAAGGCCTGAAACTCGGTGAGTGCGGAGCCAACGGCTTCACAGGCGCTCAGATCTGCCCCCCACGCCAGGCCCAGGAGGGGCCGTTCCCGAGGCTGCCCTGTCCAGCGTCAGCCAGGACAAGGTGCTCTGGGTCTCAGACCCCAACACTCGCCCTCCCCGAAACCAGCCCGCACAACGTTAAGACAATCCTATTAGCAACAGAGCCGAAATACACCTTCGGAGAGGAATGTGCCGCCTGAGCACGGAAAGGTCTGAGAAGTGCTATGTGGGGCCCAAAACTCTAGTCCAGACCGGCGCAGGGGAGCCCCAGGAAACCAGAACTCGCCACAAATCTGGACAGGGACAGCAATATAGGGGCCAGGAGCTGCTTGCTACATGCTAAGATAATTCCAAACGATACTTACTTTTAAATTTTAGGAAAATCTATTTGCTACGGCTAAAAAAAAAAAATTGACTTTGATTAAAGAAACATGACAGAATTTAGCTGCCTTTCAGAAGTGTTTTCACTCTGGCCCATTAACCTGACTTTTAGAAGGGGGGGGGGGTGCAGGACAAATTTCAATTCAGAAACCCCAATATTTACGCTCTGATTAACAAAACAAAAAACAAAAAACAGATCCAGCACTGAGTAGGTACCCCTGGAAAGTAACCCTTACCTCACCCAAAAGGATTATGTACACTTGAGGTCAACCTTAGGTAATTTAACTTTTAAAAATAACTCCAGCAAAAGATACCATGTAAGGTCAGATTCATTTTGGACTCACAATGCTAGCACATTCTAATCACACCGCATTTACACTTGCCACCAATGACCTGAGTGGCCTTTTAAATTTTTTTTTAATGTTCTTATTTATTTCTGAGAGAGTGAGAGATAGTGTGAGCAGGGGCGGGTCAGAGAGAGGGAGACACAGAATCTGCAGACAGACAGGCTCCAGGCTCTGTGCTGGCTGTCAGCACAGGGCCCGATACAAACCCACGAACCGCGAGATCATGACCTGAGCTGAAGTTGGACGCTTAACCGACTGAGCCCCCAGGCGCCCCGAGGGGACTTTTAAAAGAGCTACACATTCTGCTTCTTTGTTGCGTCTCCCATCCCTCTCTCAATAGAAGGGCAGAAGGAAAGAATTATTCAAAGTGACTTTTGTCAACAATGTATTCGCATTTTGATTTTACTAAACTTGCAGTCTGTAAGGAGTATGGGCCTAATTTACAATTATATGGGCCAGGGCAAATATTCTTGGGGAAAAGGATTCATCAAAGTACACAAGAGAGTTCCTTTTCCTTTTCCTATCAAGGACGTTACTGAGATAACTAGTAAAATCTGAATTAGATCTGTTGCTCAGATAATAGAGCTGTATCAGTGTTAATTTCCAAATTTTAATAATTATTTTGTGATCACATAAAAGAATATCCCTGTTTTTAGGGAAACAGCCACATAAGTACTTGAGTAAAAGGACATCATTATCTTACTCTGCTCAGAAAAAAATACACACATATATACAGCTGTAGTGAGGAGAGGTGATAGAGCAAATACAAAAGAGTAACATCTGGGAATCTAGAAGACTGTCATTATTCTGTGTACTATTCCCGCAGCTTGTAAGCCTGAAAACACCCAGTTCCTATGAAGAGGTGCAGAGGCTTTTGCTCTCCGGAGAAGGGCAGTGAGGACGGATGGAAGATTCTCATTTGAAGGTGACGGTGTCATGACTATTTCTGAAAGGCTGCCACCGATCCTTCCTTTCCAAGTAGATTTTTCTAAAATGAACTAAAAGTTTCTGACCTACGCTCCCAGTGCCTTCAGCAGACGAACGAGACGGCTTGGTGGACTTCTCCAGATCCCCCCAAAGTCTCGAAGCCTGCACTTGAGAGCGTAACGCTGCCCGGGAACGGCACAATCTGTAACGTGAGGGGAGCACGGCTGGGCACCGGCTGAAGTATTTCTATCATCTTCCTGTTACTGAACCCCCACCTTTGAATTATTGCTCCAACTTGAATTAGTATTTTTAGTCTAGAGCTTGGAGATTCACAAACTACAGCCAAATCCTGCTTATTTTTGTAGATAAATTGTATTGGAAAACCGCTATACTCATTCTGGCTTCCACCTTCCGGGGGAAAGTTGAGCAGCTGTGGCAGAGACCCCCAAAGCCAAAAACAGTTATTGAATCTGGACCTTTACAGAAAAAGTTTACAGACTTCGGCCCTAGAGCTCCCAAATGTTTAGTGACATTTGTGGCATCTTTAGAATCTTGAAACCACTGAGACTGAGGATGAGGGCATTAGGAGCTATTACTGAGGAACAGTAACCTTGACCTGGAAGAGGGGCCAGCACGGCCACAGGACAGTACGTTTGCCTTCAGGTCTCGGTGATCTTCTTGCTCCACCTCCTGTTAGCTGCAAGGAGCGACTTCGGAGTCATATTCTAGCGGATCCAGAGAAAGCCCAATGAGGTAAAGCAGGCTGAGTTCTTGAATGATCCCCAAAACTCAAGACGCAAATCAAACTGCGCTTTCTATCAGCTGCTCTGCTTGAAGGGAGCCCCAAGCACCATATATGTGCTTTCATCTTGCTTCACCCCTTCAGCTTTTCTCTTCCCTAACGTGGCATGATCGCAATGTTACATAAATTTAAATTACACGAATCTAAAATAACCTCTTAAATCCTCACTTTGCAAAAAATGTGAACACTTTTTGCAGCCACTGTAGCAGGAAAACAGGACACTCAGTCTTCTTTGTCTAATTCAGTTTAAAAACGTGGGGTGTGAATTCCACAGCTTCAGCATCTTCACAGAGCATTCTGGCATAAAAGGCAGCCTAATGCAGCACTTTGCCCCCGAGGACCATCCCTGGCTCCTGCCTCCGAGTTCACAGGAGGGTGTGGCGGCAGACGGGCGCATCCTGGCCATCTGCCTGCAATGGGACCACAGGGCTGCACCGTGGTGACAGCAAGAATCACAGCCTGGGCCCATGGTCCCTGATCTGTTCTGACATGAAGATGCCTGGGGTTCTGGCCACACCCACTGGACACAATTCACACCAAGGAAGTGCAGCAGTACACACACATCAAGTTTTCACTGCCAGTGTCATCCAAATCCCTTTCTAGAAAGTTCAGAAAGGTTAAGCTCCACTTCAAGTTCTTTGGTGATTTTCTACCTTGTGAAAAAAGGAAAAATCACTACAGACCACAAGCAGCACGTTTTGAAGCACAGAATATAAATCTTTATTACTCAACAGTTTGTCAGTACAGGGTTCTGCCCACCGTTGCTTGAGTGGCTCAGTGTATCCTGGTTTCCTGACAGCATTTCCACCACGGGAGCAGGTCTCTGTCCCCACCTGGGTATGTCCCTACCTTCTGCCCAACCCACCTGCGCTTTGAGTGCCCTACGTGTGCTCGACTATTTTAAATGCTAATTTAGAACAAGGAAACAGTAAGTTGATTTCCACACATACATTCATGCTATCTACTCTGTGACTCAGTTAAGACATGTTCTCATCTCTGCCTCCTCTGGCCCTTCCTGTTGGGTATTCTTCTTCCACACATATGTGCCGTAAGCGATCTGACCTCATTGGCTATTCTGGGGCAGCACGGAGGCAGATGATCCAAAACATTTAATCATATTGAACACTGCGTGACCGTAGATAGAAGTGAAAGGTACAGAAGTTCATTCAAAATGGGAATCGATTTCACGTGCTGTCACAGTATTTTGGGCATACTACCCGCTTGCAGCTTAAGAAGTCCATGATCCTATCACATTTTAATTCAAGAACATCCACAGGTTCCAAGTGATGGGAGGCTCCAGGGGCCGCCCCCCCGGCTCTGCCTTCTCTCAGAGGCCCCCGGTGGTGCACTAGGAGGCAAGGACCTTGCCTCTGCACTGGGGGGCGAGGAGGCAAGAACCTCCTCCAGGGGCGCAGTCCGGCCACAGTCCTGGGCAACGGACAGAGCCAAAAAGATAAGGCAAAGATAGCATGAAGTTGAATTATTAGCAGAAGCTCTAGCTTGTCACTGGCTCCACAACACGCACAAGATGAAGGCTAAGTGTCTGATCACCACCCTGAAAAGCAGGCGTGACTGCTGTTTCTAATTCTTGGTGACGAGCCAGGTACTGGCCCCCAGCAAGAAAGCGAGTGTAGGGGCACCTGGGGGCTCAGTCGGTTAAGCATCCAACTTCGGCTCAGGTCATGAACTCAGGGGTCTGTGAGTTCAAGCCCCACATCGGGCTCTGTGCTGACAGCTCAGAGCCTGGAACCTGCTTTGGATTCTGTGTCTCCCTCTCTCTCTGCCCCTCCCCTGCTCACACTCTGCCTCTCCCTCTCAAAAATAAACACTAAAAAAAAAAAAGAAAAGAAAAAAAGAAAGAAAGAAAACAAGTATAGCTTTTTAAGGCCGAATTACAGGGGCACCAGGGGTCAGTCCACTCAGGTCATGATTGAACCCTGCAGGGGGCGGGTCCGAGCTGACAGTGTGGAACCGGCTTGTGGCTCTCTCCCCTGCTGCCTCTCTGGCCCTCCCCACTGCCCGTGCACACGCCCACTCTCTTAAAATAAACTTTACCCTCCCGCCCAAAAAAAAGCAAATTGCAGCCATGGGATCCCACTCAATATTGTCTCTCAAATTCCCTAAAACTCCTCCTCACACCCCCCAAGAGTGAACATTCCAGAATGCTTCATTGTTCCAATGAACAATCCATTACGTGATTTTGTTTTTATAACCATCATATACATGAAGTCAGAGAACACAATAATGATCTTTATTTACCTGTGATAGGGAGGACTTTTTAAAACTTTTTTATCTGAGACATTCTCACCAGACACCTTAATGTTTATTTTCCCCCAGGAACTTCTTCAAAATGAGAAAAATGTTTATTTTTTCCAGATTTCAAGTAGTTAAACTGATAAAGTTACATGCACAGTTTAAAGTTAGTCTTGTGGGTCGTGTATTTAATGGTACAGCTACAATTTTCAGGATTTATACCGTGTAGACGAAGATCATAGAAAAAATAAAGACTAACACTTTGTACTGGGTCCTGTACCGATAAACCATGAACATAAACTCCTCTAGGACCTGTGCCTGAAGCATCCACTCACCAATCCACAAAACATGACTGTGCTTATCTCTTATTTCCTTGGCAACCATCTAGCCCAGGAAGTATTTCTTCAGCATCAAAGGGCATCTGCCACACCTGGCCATCTTTTCAAATGCAAATTCTAAGTCTTTCCCGGTTTTTTCAAGACCTGGACACTTTTGAGGAGCAACAGTTAAGATTTTGGTGAATGTCTCTGTTTGGGTTTTCACATGACTGCACCCGTGGGCGTGCACTTCTGTCTCAGTGCATCACACTGGGGCGCAGGATACAAGGTCTTATTACTGGGTAAGGTGGATCTGTCAGCTTTTCCCACTGTGAAGTTACCATTTTTCCCTTTGTAGCATATAAATCTTGGGAGAGGAACTCTGGGGCTATGTAAATATCACAGATTGGAGGAGACTTCAAGGAGACATGACAACTAAATGCTGAGTAGGATCCTGGATTAGACCCTGAAACAGAAGAAGGACATTAATGGAAAACTGATGAAATTCAGTCAGGTCTGTAATCTGGTCAATAGTGCTGTGCTGATGCTAACGTTCTGATTTTTTAAGGATACTTGATTAGGTAAGAGGTCAGCATTCTGGCAAGTGGGGAACAGAACAGGGAAGCTCTCTGAACTGTTTCTGCAACTTTTCTTTAACTCTATAAATTTCTTTTACAGTTAAAAGTGTACAAAGCTGCAGATTCTGATTCCTTATGTCTGGTGGGGGCCTGAGAGGGTACACTTCTCTCAAACATCCAGTGATGGCAATGTCACTGATCCACAGACCACTTCGCATAGGCCTTGTGAGGCCCTGACACATGCAGCTCGTGTATTTCACTGTGCACAACTTTCAAAGGACAATCGACTAAAATGCGTCAAGATTACACTTTAAGGGCGCCCGGGTGGCTCAGTCAGTTGAGCGTCAAACTCTGATTTCGGTTAGTGGGAAATGACCAGTCAGTGGAATGGAGTCCCGGGTCAGGCTCTGCACTGACAGCGCAGAGCCTGCTTGGGATTCTCTCTCTCCTTCTTTCTGCCCCTCCCCTGCTCATTCTCTTTCCCCCCTCTCAAAATAAAACGGGGCCGGGGCGGGGGGGAGTAAAAATAATTTTTAAAAACTATTGTTAAAAAGTTATACTTCAAGTAATCACTGCTTAACTGGAGGCAATCCTTAAACTCGGGCATGCTGAAGTGCCATCTTTGTATGAGGACGTGGTGTAAGCAGTTGGTGTGAGCAGCCGAGACTGACAGAACAGTATGAAATCCCCACCTTCGCCTATGGCTGGCGTTCCCAGCTGAGCTGGCGCTCCTCCCAGGCTGCAGGGCCAGAGCCTCCAGCAGGAACACACGTCCGCCCACACTGCATCCCAGAGATGGCCATGGGGACAACGGTCAGGCCACCCATTCCTCTGACAGAAGGCATCCCTTACCAAGGCCACAGGGAGGCAGGAGAGCAGAGTTAACAGGAACGAGCCCTGAAATTCCTGCTCACGGTGAGAACTGGCCACAAAGGTGATCTCTGCTCCACCCATTAAAATGACTTTTAATTGCATATAATAAACCACAAGGAAAACATAAGACACAGGCAAGACACTTTGGCAATTTCTGGGAGACTGAAAGGATCTACAAGGGCAAAAGAAACCACAACCTGGAGCACAGAGGAATGGGTACAGCCAAAGGAGGGCTCCAAGCCTGGGGTAGGTAGGCCAGGCCACTCAGTGGGCATGGCTGAGCCCGCTCACAGAAGTTGGATCCCTGCACAGAAAAGCTATACAAGAGTCCTTCCTAGACCAGCTGGAGCAACCCCAATCAAAGGGATCTTTCTTAAGCTGTAAGACCCAGAAGAGTCTCTGCAATCTGGCACTTGAAGTCCCACACAGTAACAAGTTCCCAATCACCCAATGGGAGACCCACACATTTCCAAAACCAGCCCCACATACTTAGAGCTCTCTGCCCGCTTCCTCTTGCCTTAGACAACAATAATTACCACTGTTTAAGGAGTATTTGCCATATGAAGTATGAAACCAGTATTTTAAAAAAAATGATGGTGACAGTGACACTAGAAGAAATAAGAAATCAGAGGATAAAAGAAATGAAAAAAAATCTTTATTGGTCTCCTCAAAGTCAAGAAGATGATGCATTCACAAAACAATAAGCTACTGTGGGGTGGAGGGGACAAAAGCTCTTGAAAATTTTCAGTTGTGGAAATAAAAAAATTAAAACAAGATTGGAAGATAAATTGAAGCCCTTTTCCAGAAAAGAAAATAAAATGACAAAGGAAAAGGAAAAGACAAGAGATTCAAGGGATCAATCCAAGATGTCCATTATCAAACTAACAAGAACTCCTGAAAGAATAAAAGCAAAAGAAACTCTCAAATAAGTAATTTCCCAGAGCTGAAAGGCAAGCCCCCAGAGGCACAGAGCATTCAGAGCAGGACTCCACACCCCGGGGCCCTTTGGGAATGTCCTAACACTGAAGAGGATCCTAAAAAGTTACCCAAAAGGAATAAGCCTACTTGGCAGAAGGTTCTCTCACTGAAATGAAGTAAGCCACAATTACACATGGAATCCTGAACAAACTATAATAAAGAAAATTATATATTTATATATATATATAACAATATATATATAAATATATAATTTCCTATAATAAATGAAAATATTGGCAGTATACTTGTACTGGCCTAAGAAGTAATCAATCCAGATTACAAAAGGACAGAGACCTGGGGAGAAGACGGGAAGTTGGAGAGATCTGGCATTATGCTTCAAAATTTAAAGCAAATAGTCATGGGAACAGAAAATTCAAAAAAAAAAAAAGCCATCACAAACAACAGAAAAAAAAAAAAAAGCTGTAGGAAATGTACTACTCAGCCATGAAGCAAACAATACTTGCACAGTCATAAACAATTTCAGTTAAGTGAACATAGTGAATTGAGGGGATAGAAAAAGTGGGATAGGACACGAAAAGGTAAATCATCTTTCCTAACAGAAAGCCCAGAATGCGTAAAACTAATAAAATACCAACTTACTCTTCTGAGCTATGGAACCCTTCCAGAAGCAACATCAAAAAGATGTCTCTGAGGAGTGAAAGTGAAAAGCTGGACAGGGGACTGGTGCTTCTCAATATTAAGTTTTCCACTGACATTTTACTGTATTACTTTGATTAAAATATCAGGTATTTGAATATATATATAAAAGCTCGGACTTCAGACAGAGTTCAAACCCTTTGCTCTGTGTGTCCTGGACAAGTCTCTTGACCCCAGTGGGTCTCAGTCACCTCACTGGATCGCTGGGACAAGAAACACTGCAAATGATTAGCAGTCCCAGCCACAGCACATAACTCACAAATGGCAGCCATTTCTAAAAGAATGAAAGCCAACTGATGTTGTCAGAATCCTACATCACAAGAACATACTCTTATTTTAACTGCGAGACAAAGGGAAAATGGGAGCCAAACATACAGAACCAATCTCGCGGGCAGTTTTGGTGTTTTTCCTACCACTCGGTATCTGTACCCGGGGCGGTCCTAAAATCTGAGTCTTGAATGGCCGGGTCGCCTACGTTCCGATCGCCTTCTCCCCCACCTCCTGAGGGCCACCCGACTACCCCCAAGTTATTTTTCTGTCTCCAGAACGTCCAGTTACAAGTGTGCGCGAGCAGGGCCCGGCCCCTCCCATCAGTGCCGTTTTACCAACGCCACCAGGCCTTGGGGCGCGTTCCGGGGCGGGCCAGGTAACTCCAAACGGAGGGCAACGGGCTGTTCCGGTCGAACAGACCCAACGCCGGGCAAAGTCTCGATGCTCAGAAGCCCACGCGTGCGAGCAGCTCTTCGGGAGGCGTCAGGTCTTCAGTGAAAACCCAGCCCTGCGTGAAGGCGGAGTCTCCAAGCGCTCACACGGTGCAGGTGGAACGGGCATCTGAGGCCCCACTTCCGAAGGGCCACACCAAAGAGGCAGGGGGACCGAACCCCGAAATCTTCCCTCGCGAGCGACCCCCCTCCTCTGCTCCGTGGGCCCTCGGCCGAGCGGGGGCGTGCGCTCTCGCCTGAGGGTGCCCCAGGGCGCACGCCGGCGCGGGGCTGGCTCCAAGTGCCGTCTCCCCTCGTCCCCGACAAGTGACAGGGGCGGCCCGCCGGCGCGCGCAGCCGCCCGGCCCCCCGCCCGTCCCGCCGGCGCGGCGCGCGGCACCCCGGGGGAAGCGAGGCTCGCGCGCGGCCCCACGGCCGGCCCGCCGCCGGGGGCGGGGGAGGGGCGGGCTCACGGCGGGGGGAGCGGGGAGGCTGACGGGGGCGGAGGGCCCGCGGCGGGGAAGCAGCAGGAACCGGGAAGGGGGGCCGGGGGAGCTGAGGGCGCCGACAGGGCCGAGGGCGGCGGGCCGTTGGCCGGCCGCGCAGGGCGTCCGGGGCGGGGGCGGCGGGCGCGGGCGCGGCGGCCGGAGGAGGGCGCAGGGAGGAGGGAGGAGGGGAGATCTCGCTCTCGCTCTCGCTCTCGCCCCGCGGGAAGGGGGAGGTGGAGACGCGACCGGCTGCGGGAGCTGCAATTACCGTGTGGGCTGCGGAATTCTCGTGGTGTTTGTCGGGGAGATGCGATAATGGCGTCCGTCCTCGCGAGAGAAGCCGCCGCTCTGCGCAGGCGCCGCGAGTCCCTCCCCGCGGCCCTCCGCCCTGAACCGTCTGCGCACGCTCCCTGAGCGGGGCGCGCCGGGCGCAGGGACGAGGCGAGGGGGGTGGGGCCTGCCGCTCGAGGCCTCCCGCGCGCGCCTTCGCCCGCGCCGACGACCGCCGAGCATGCGCACGCGTCCTCCTGCCGCGCCTCAGATTGGGCCTCTCAGGGTCCTTACCGCCCCAGCGAAAACCCCGTCTCCGCACTGGCCTCGTGGGAAGTTGCGACGATGGGCCGTGAGAGGCATTTACATTTTCTCTGAGGCTGAATGGATAGGAATTAGCGCTCCCCTCGACGACTACATATCCCGGAGGTCTGTGCGCGAGCCGCGAGCGGTGCTTTCTGGGAATCGTAGTCCCTGCGTGTGCGCTGAGCCTGCCGGTGCTTGTAGTCTCTCGGTACTCGGGTCTCCCGTTAGGGCCGGCGCCCGCGGCTGCTGGGACTTGTAGTTGAGACCCTGGGCCGCGGCCGCAGGGGAGAAGTGCCCCCAGGTAATAGGAGGTGCGACGGGCTCCCCCGCGTGCGCACACACCTCCCGGCGCTCACGCGTGGGAAAAAGTGTGTGTTGGTTATGTGACACGTGTTCTGTATGTAACTAATGTGTTACACACCGTACGAGACATGCGTCTGTCACGTATAGGCTGTCTTGTGGATGAGCACGAATTCGGTGTGAGTGTGGACGTGTACACGTACGTAGCATAAATGCACGGCTGTTGGTACTCGTGGGAAGAAGTCACTGAGCTGTAGACAGTCCCCAGACTTACCGCCATCACCGTCGCGCCTCACGTGTGCTGGGGTCCCGTTGCTTTTCATTCCTCTTCTCGGTACTCGCCTCTGTTTTCCGAGTTGTTTACAACCGGCAAGAACAAGACTGCGGAGCTATTTTCATTTGGAAAAGAAAATGCTTTCCTGCAAGTTTCCTGCCTACTTCCCTTTATGCCAGTGACAAAAACCCTCATTCAGGGCAGCAACGCACCGTGTGACTTTGGGCAACCTCGTTACGTAGTCTCTTCCAGAATGAACACCTGAGGGCTCTCCTGAGTCTGGTCATTGGGCTTCTCGGCAGGAAAAGCACGTTAAAGAAATTCCAGGGAACAGGCACCGAAGGTCAGCGCTGGAAAAGATATTTATTCACATCGAAATGAGAATGTTCCTGTGTAGAGATGAGGGAAAATTGCTCAGCAAGGTCAGGGTGCTGGAAAAAGACAAAAGCAGAGTTTGGAATCCAAGCTGTGGTCTCGAGTCTGCTCACGGTGGGGGAAAGGGGTGCAGAAGCTGAGCACACAAATCCTGAGAGATGAGTGGTGGCAAAATGGCTTTAGGTGGCGTGCCTTCTGTCCCCACCCCTGTGTCAGTCGTAGCCAAGTCTGAACACTTAACTAAGATTTCTTAGACATGTGAGTGCCTGACTAGAAAGCAGATAAATGTAGACTGAAATTTTTCATATTTTTTCAAAATATCACAAAGTTCCTTGTCCTCAGCTCCAACACAGGTGTGGCTGGCTGGCTCCTTCCCGGCCAGGCCTTGCACACTGCCGGGCCCCGCACCACTGCTAAGTCGTCATCAGACACTAAGCCAATCAGAATTGTCATCGTGCTTATGCCAGAGTCGCTGGCTTCTCTTTCTCGTTGTTGATGACTCAGACTTACGTATTTTTCACTTAGCCACCCAGGAAGCTCACATAGAGGAGAGTGTTACTCAATATGGACATGAAGCTGATTAACCATGGTTTTAAAAATAATTAAATAGCTAGAAATTGGCAAAGCCAGCTGTCCACCAAAGAAGGGCTGCTTCCCTCCCGCAGAGGGTTCTCCTCTGTGCCAGTCCATCCATCCGAGAATCCAGTCCAGGTTCTGGAGTTAATGAGGCTAGTGTCCTGTTAATGGGGGCTTTATGGGAAGGGAGGGAGGGGCACTCTGGCCTGGGTGGTACCAGAAATGCGGGACCCCCTTCCAAGTGTGTGCACCGGGCATTTGCAAAGATCTCAAAGGCCCCGTCAAAATTGCACAAGGCCACTTCAAGCAAACCCTGGAATCCTGCAGAAGCGTCCTGTTCATAAAGATATCACTAGGCTGAAGGGAAGTCATTCATGAAACGCTCAGTCACCCAGGAAAGGCCTAGAAAACAGCACAGTTGTCTGTAAGAGCAGGGACATCCAAGCTCTCCTGTGGCTCACTGCACTGCCGAGGCCGTGTGAGCCTTGGCTGCCTCCTCCAGAAGATTCAGTAAAGTAGAGTTTGTAAAGGGTTTCACAGAAGGTCAAGAAGTGGTCATATGACCGTGTGTTAAGTTGCCATGCTTTGAGCCGGGCATATATTATGATCCCTATTCTTTGTGAAGAACGTGAAGTTCAGAGAGGTGAAGCAACACACCCAGGGTCACATGGCAGTGCTAGAGCCTTGAGGAGGAAGCTTGTGAGATATGGCAGGAAAGGTAGTTAGGGTATGGGCTGTGCGGGTCCCTGTTGGCCAAGGGACGAGTTTTGTCTTGATCCTAAAATACTGCAAAGCCTTTTCAAGGTTTGGGACAAGGGTAGATACGATAAGATTTGCATTTGCAAAAGTCACTCCAGCTGCAATGTTGAAAAATGAATTGGGGAGGAGGAGGAGGAGGGTTCCTAAGTGAATTGGGGGGGGGGGGTACTTGAGGCTGTGACAGGAGTCCTGGCAAGAGACGATGGAAGCCTGAACTAGGGTGGTCACAGTGGAGAAGTGGACAATACAGAGAGATGTCATGGGATGACATCAACAGGACTTGACCATGAACCTGATACTGGGGACCAAGGTGGGGGGCCGGGCAGGAGGCATCTGGGATGTCGCCTGGGCCTGCAGTTATGGAAAAACGGATGGATGGAAGCACCATTCCCTGAGCTCCAGGCACTGCCAGCCACCGGCCACCACCCATGGCTCCGGAGACTGCCCTGAACAGTGCCTCTTTGTAATCAGTCCCCCTACAGGGGACAATCTGCCATTCCTCTCCTACCCCAGGACACCTTTTTCTGCCTCACACAAAAGCACCTGCTGGGAAGAGATGAAATGTGGGGGTAAACTGAAGGCCTGGAGATAGAGTCCACAGGTGCCTCAAGGAAAAGGGGAACAAGCAACACTCGGCAGGCACAGTCACCCCAGCCCCCACTAACATGGATTCTAGCCAGACACAGACAGGAAGTAGCCACCTGTTCTGGTCCATCAGGAGAATTAAGGGCCAGGAAGTACGTCAGCAACATGGTGGAATAGGAGGGCCCCCGCCACCTGCTCCCTCAGTAGCAATAACTTACAGCCATCCATGGCCAAGGCCCTGCCTGAAGGAGCCCTGAGACCCAGCTCCGGCCACTCGTTACCTGTGAGCCAGGAGCAGCCCCATCCACCCAGTGACACGGAGGGCAACCCACCCACCACATCGATACAATGAAAACCACATGATCATCTCATTAGATGCAGAAAAAGCATTTGACAAAATTCCACACCCTTCACGATAAAAACTTTCAACACGTTAGCCATGAACACAGTAATAAGCCCCAGCATAATAAATCCCATGTATGACAGGCTCACGGTAACATCACATTCAATGAGAAAAGGTTGAAAGCTTTTCCTCTAAGATCAAAACCAAGGGTGCCCGTTCCTATTCCACTCCTGGAGTCCTAGCCGGAGACATTAGACGAGGAAAAGAAATAAGAATCCTCCGAATCAAAAAGGAGGAAGTTAAATTGTCTCTGTTTGCAAATAACATGATCTAAAAAGCCTGTAGACAGCCAAAAAAAGGGTGAGAACTAATAAACAGATTGAGTAAAGTTGCAGGATATAGAATCAGCATGCAAAAATCTGTACACTGACAATGAACGATCTGGAAAAGTGATGAAGAAAACAGTCCCATTTACAATAGCACCAAAACAATAAAATAAATTAAGAATAAATTGAACCAAGGAAGTAAAAGATCTGTACACTGAAAACATACGACACTCATGAAAAAAAAAAAACAAAAAAACGAAGAAGACACAAAAAAATGGAAAGACATCCCATGTTTACAGGTCAAAAGAATTAACATTGTTAAAATGTCCACACTGCCCAAAACAGTCTACAGATTCCCTGCAATCCTTAACAAAACTCCAATGGCATTTTCCACCAAAAAAGAAAAGAAAAGGAAAAATTCTAAAATTTATGTGGAACCACAAAAGACTCTGAATAGACAAAGCAATCCTAAGAAAAAAGAACAAAACTGGAAGCGTCACACTTTCTGACTCCAAACTGCTGTCTGTTACAAGCTATCCTCGTCAGAACTGTACATTACGGGCACAAAAACAGACACACACACCAATGGGGTGGAATAAAGAGCCCAGAAGTCAAGCATATTTGGTCAACTAATCCTGGACAAGGACACACTATGGGGAAATAATGGTCTCTTCAATAAATGGTGTTGGCGAAAGTGAATATTCACGTGCACAAGAACGAAACTTGACCCCCATCTTATACCATACATAGAATCAACTCGAAATGCATTAAAAACTTAAATGCAAGACCTGAAGCCATAAAACTCCTAGAAGAAAACATAGGGGAAAAGCTCCTTGATATGGGTCTTTGGATATAGTTTTTTGGATAAAACACAGGAACAAAGGCAAACAAACAAACAAACAAACAAAACGTGGGACTACAACCAACTATGAAGGTTTTTTGCAGCACCATGAAAAGTCAGCCAGCGGAATGGGAGGAAATATTTGCAAACCAAATATATCTGGTATATCTGATAACCAGTACTCCAAATATATAAGGAATCCACGCAAGAGGGACCCGCGTGCACTGCTGGTGGGGATGCAAACCGGCGGGGCCGCTGTGGAGCACAGCACGGAGGCCCCTCGAAAAATTGGAAATACAACTACCACGTGATCCGCAGCCACTTCTGACAAAACGTCCAAGCGAAATGCAAGCACGTCCGCGCTCCCCTGTTCACCGCAGCTTCC